CAGGTGCACTATACTCACCAAAGACCTATTTGCAGAAAGAGCAAACAGAAAAGCAGAATGACTCTTCTTGCTCCAAAATAAATTTGGTTCCCTAGAAGTGGATGCACTGAATCACAATTGGAACTTCAGCCTGGACTATACATATCCACCTTTAGCTCTGCAGTGAAGAGTAGTTCAGAAGTTGTTTGTCCAAGTATAAACTAATCCTGTTTGCCCACTGGCAAGGAGGACCTGATTTGCTGATATCCACCTTTTTCAGAGAGCACCTGTTGTCACCGGCACCACAGGCATCAATTCTTTTAACTATTTAGATCCTGAAAGGGGCATCTCAAGATTCTTCCGAAAGAGTGAATAACACCTTAAGAGCAGAAAACAATAACAAGAAAGATTTAAGTCTGGAATTTGTTTCCTCCTCCTGGTGTTAGAAATTTCTTTCCTGCTGTACCTGTTCTGGATTTTCCTCAGGAGGACACAAACATCTATATCCTGCTGTCCAAGGACCCTTTATCAATCTTCAAACAAGAACTTCAAATTCTTTTAGAAAAGACGGCTTCAGATGACATCCTCTCTAAAAAAAAAAAAAAAAAAAAAAAAAAAAAAAAAGGCCTTATTGTACCATGAACATTTGAACACCCTGTACTTTTACCACTTGCCCAAAGTCCACAAAAAAAAAAATCAGACACTCCTTCAGGTCAACCCATTGTAGCTTTAATGGACAGTTTAGCAAGTGTTTTTTTGGTTATATTGATTACTTTCTTTAGCCACTAGTGAACGTCTTACCTGCCTATATTAAAGATATGGGTTATATATTGAACATACTTGCCCATTACAGTTGGAAGTCCAATTATTGCTGGGTGACCTTGGATATCATGTCTCTTTATACCTCAATGCCACATGAGGGAAGATTAAGCGCCGTTCTGTACTTGCTGGCCAAGAAAAAAACATTTTGATAAGTTTTGATATGACGTCTGTCACATGTACTCAGGGTGAACTTGCTGTCATCTGTGAAAAGCACAGGGCGCCAGTGGTGGACCTGCCAATTCTGGTGTTCAATGGCAAATGCTCTATGGTGCTGGGCAGTGAGCACAGGACCCACTAGAGGACGTCCGGCCACCCTCATGATTTGGTCAGACACATTCACACCAGTGGCCTGCTGGAGGTCATTTTGGAGGGCTCTGGCAGTGCTCATCCTTTTTCCTCCTTGCACAAAGGAGCATATAACAGTCCTGCTGATGGGTGAAGGACCTTCTATGGCCCTGTTCAGCTCTCCTAGAGTAACTGCCTGTCTCCTATAATCTCCTCCATGCTCTTGAGACTGTGCTGGGAGACACAGCAAACCTTCTGGCAATGGTACGTATTGAAGTGCCATCCTGGAGGAGCTGGACTTCCTGTGCAACCTCTGTAGGGTCAAGGTATCGCCTCATGCTACCAGTAGTGACACTGACCCTAGCAAGATGCAAAACTAGTGAAAAACAGTCAGAAAAGATGAGTAGGGAAAACCAATGTCAGTGGCCTCCACCTGTCAAAACACAGCGCTATATCCTGGGACAGGTAAGTGTGCATTTATTGAAGTGTTACTAAACTCAGGACCCTGCATTCATTGTATCTGGTCTCCCACAGTACACAGAACATGGAAATGCAATTATTTTAGTAAATATAAACTGATAAATACCTTTTTCTTATCAGCAGTATATAGTAGCCTTGTAACTTCTATCAGTGTCTAGCTGAGCACTGGTTAAAGCTTGTAGGAGGAGGTTTAATTCTCTGTCCTATGAGGCTGAATTACCCTTAACCCTCTGTTTGGACAGTGCTGATTGGTCCTGTGTTGATCACATGCACCTTCCCAAAAAAAGAAAAACTCTATAGAAATACACACCAAACTGAGTGCTTCCTAGGGCTCTGTACTATCAGCAGATGGATTGGGAACTGTGGAAGAAGGGGAAGATCAAAAACGACAGAATCAAACAGCCTTTTTACACAGTGCGGAGGATTAACCCCTTAGGTTCCACAGAGATTATAAGTATAACAAGCATGCTTTACTGCATATACAGACTGAATTTACTGTTGTGGATTTAGTAGCACTTTAACAGTCAGCAGCTACAGTTTTTGTAGCTGCTGACTTTTATTATAATATTTTTTATTTTTTTTTTTAAGCGTGAAGAACCTCTTTAAATTTAGTTCCACTTTAAGGCCAAATGTTTAATCTAATTTTGTTTCTTGTTTGAAATAAATATACCTAATTAAGCTTGTTTTCAAACCATTCAAATGAACCCATCTTTCAAGGCTAGAAGAAAAACAAAACGTCCAGGCTCTATTTTTAACCTTACTCATCAGAGTTAAGCCCTCTTCTATGCTGTTTATCCAGGAGTTATCTATTTGTCAATGAAATAACAAGAAGTGTGATTCACAGCTTTTGCAGGTTGAGAAGCTGATTTTGGCTCTTGCCACAAAAAATGCCTTACTCCATTTTTAAACCGCTTTCTGTGTTTCATTACTAAAAATGTTCTAGAAGATCGTGAAGCACACATCCCTGTCCCCTAGTAAAACACTCCCTACACATAGTTAACCCTTTGATCGCCCCTCATATTAACCCCTTCCTGCCCAATGCCTTTTTCTTTTTTTTTTTAAGAACTGATCACTGTATTGGTGACACTCAGTCAGTTCCCCCCCAGTGTCAGAAGGTCCACTGCAGTCCCAGAGTCCTGCAAAAAGTTGCTGATCGCCATCATTACTGGTAGAGGAAAAAAAAAATCCCAGTATCTATACTGCCATTTGTAAACGCTATAACTTTCACATAAACCAATTAATTTACACGTATTGGGATTTTTCTTAGCAACGACATGTCACAGAATACATTTTGGTGTAAATTTATGACGAAATTTGATTTTCTTTACTGGACATGTTTAATAGCAAAAAAAGCCCAAAATGTAGTGTTTTTTTCTCAAAAATGTCTTTTTTTTTTTTTTTTTTTTTTTTAGTGCAATAAATAAAAACCGCACAGGCGATCAAATACCACTGAAAGAAAGCTCAATTCGTGGGAAAAAAAAGGACGTAAATTTCATTTGGGTGCAGCATTGCATGACCCTGCAATTATCAGTTAAAGTAACGCAGCGCTGTATCGTTAAAAATGGCCTGGTCAGGAAGGGGGGTAAATCCTCAGGAGGGTAAGTTGTTGAGGCAGCAGCTTTTTGGCCTTTGCAATGCCTTTTTAAACAGGGTTTCTTGCTGTATCCCTCCAACCCATATTCCTATAGACCCAACAATATGGTGAGCTACCTCATTAGCCATTAGGTAGGGGGCAAACTCCATAACTACCAGTAGCTTTCAGAGCTGTGCCAATCAACTCCACATTCGGTAACAGCAGAACCAGGAAATGCGTCTGCGCCTCTAAGTATCTGCAATCTAGGCAAATGATGTCCATACATCCCAAGAGCCTTAGGTGGTGAGGGAGGGTTTTCAGCTTAGCCAATGCCTGAGCTAAAGGCAGATGGATTCCAGGAAATGACTGCTACATGAATCATCTGCCCTTGCTCAAGATGGCTATGGTCATTCAAAATGATTTCTCAGCAAAATAAAGCATGGAGACACGGATGGACGGATGACTGTGCTTTTTAATTATAGAAATTAATTGTATAGCATGTTTGGTTTGTGGTGCTCAGATGCAATGCAGTTTCGCTTTAAGCTTACAATGTGCATGAGGCCTAACTGTTATCTAGGAATGTAATATAGCACCCCAAAGCTAATATCTCAAGTACAGTGGCAGGATAAGCTGATTTAGTTCCCTGGATAATATTATAGATTTGCCCTCATTATTATCCTGGAGATAGAGACTGGAAGAGTGCATTTTTACAAACGTAAATTAGTATAACTGTTGTGCTTTTTTAGCACTGAGCCGTAGTCCAGATGTACAGTCATGGTGCTTTTTTGATCATTATAGTCATTATTTCTTATGACATCAATACAAAAACAACTGGAAAGAGCACATGAAAGTACTTCACTAGTAATACTCTTTGTTTAGCATCATTATGGCTAATAGGTAACCTATAGGGAAAATAATTAATTTTCTAGGTGGCATAATGTGTTTTTTGATATCAAACATTTCCTAATTCCTCGAAATACACAAATAATTCTATCGCATTCAGCCATTACGTGTAACTTACTGTTGTCCTTTGAAATCATTCCACAGAAACCTCTTCCTATAAACAACACAACACAAGGTTCCGCATGAGATATATATGCACTATATTGCCAAAAGTATTTGGACACTTGGTTTTAAATGCACATTAATTTTAATGGCATTCCAGTCTTTGTCCGTAGGGTTCAGTATTGAGTTGGCCCACCCTTTGCTGCTACAATGGCTTCAACTCTTCTGGGAAAGCTGTCCACAAGGTTTTGGAGTGTGTTTGGGTGTGTCTATGGGAATATTTGGCCATTCCTCCAGAAGCGCATTTGTGAGGTCATGCACTTATGTTAGAGGAGAAGGCCTGGCTCACACTCTCCGCTCTAATTCATCCTAAAGGTGTTCTATTGGGTTGAGGTCAGGACTCTGTGCAGGTCAGTCAAGTTCCTGCACCCCAAACTCACGCATCCATGTCTTTGTGGACCTTGCTTTGTGCACTGGTGAAGAGTCACGTTGGAACAGGAAGGGGCATCCCTAAACTGTTCCTGCATAGTTTAGAGCATGAAATTGTCCAAAATGTCTTGGTATGCTGACGCCTTAAGAGTTCCCTTCATTGGAACTAAGGAGCCAGGCCCAACCCCTGAAGATCAGACGTAAACCATATTCCCCCCTCCACCAAACTTTACACTTGGCACAGTGCAGTCAGGCAAGTACCATTCTCCTGACAACTGCCAAACTCAAACACATCCATCGGATTGCCAGACAAAGAAGCCTGATTTGTCACTCCAGAGAACACGTCTCCACTGCTCTAGAGTCCAGTGGCGGCGTGCTTTACACCACTGCATCCGACGCTTTGCATTGCACTTGGTGATGTAAGGCTTGGATTCAGCTGCTCGCCCATGAAAACCCATTCCATGAAGTTCTCTATGCACTGTTGTTGAGCTAATCTGAAGGCCACATGAAGTTTGGAGCTATTGCACACAGTTGGTGACTTCTGCACACTGTGCTTCAGCATGCGCTGACCCCGCTCTGTCATTTTATGTGGCCTACCACTTTGTGGCTGAGCTGCTGTTGTTCCCAGTTGCTTCCACTTTGTTATAATACCACTAACAGTTGACCGTGGAATATTTAGTAGCAAGGAAATTTCATGGATAGACTTATTACACAGGTGGCAACCTATCATGGTACCACGCTTGAATTCACTGAGCTCCTGAGAGCGACTCATTCTTTCACAAATGTTTATAGAAGCAGACATTAGTTACAATACAATTTGGTACAAGAGGAAACAGAGGGCCCTGCTCGTTAGCCCTTACAATCTAGGATAGATATAGATATATATATATATATATATATATATATATATTGACAGTGCGAGGCTCTGTTACTATAAAAAATGGCCGGGAAAAAGACACAGAGTGTGAATGTCTGCTTAGTGCAATGCTACAGAGTATAGGTTTGAATCTGGGAACATCTGGATATTGCTGGATGGGGCTCTGTAGTTTGGAGATTCCTAAGAGTCTTGGGCGGGATAGAATCTCCAACCCTGTGTCTGGGTGTTGTGAACAACCAGCAGGGTGTGTGCCCAGGTGCACAAAGCCCTTATAGCGATGGGCTTGTTAGAGTAGTTGGTGGTAGTGGTGGAGAAGCAATAGGAGGAGTTATTGCTGCAAGTCTGAAGACAAAGCCCTGTCAGGAGAGCCTGGTGGAGACTACAACCTTTGTGAGGGGGATTCCTGGCCCAAGGACTGGGAACGTCTGGCCAGCTACGAGAGTCTGGGAGACCAAGAGAGGGTTTGGGAGGCTGAGGGAGCTGAAGAGGCCAGTGAGTCCAAGGGGCTGCAGGGAATCTGTGAGTCTCTGGAGGAAGCAAGCTGAGATACAGGGAAAACTCTGTCAAGTGGCCATGTGGGGCCTGAACAGCAAGGACCTGTCACCTAGGCTGAGTGAGCTTGAATAGTCAGTGGTCTGGGAGACCAAGCCAAACAGAGATGCTAACCAGAGAGCCAGGTGGCTTGGCATTTTTCACTATAATTTTGAGTGAAGTTGAAACCCCCTGCGTGGAAAACCTTGTTTCAAATGGACTTTTCAGTTACTGTTTAATAAATGTGGGCCACTAGGCCCTTAATTTTAGTTCCTGTCTGGCCTAAACTCACTTAAATATGCATCTACTGCTGAGCTAAAGCATCCCCCATATTACGAATATATATATATATATATATATATATATATATATATATATATATATATATATATATATATACATATACACAGTTGTGTTTTTAAAATAATAGCAGTGTGTTGAAAAAAGTGAATAAAGCTCAAAATCCTTCTAATAGCTTTTATTTCCATACACACAAATGCATTGGGAACACTACACATTCTATTCCAAATCAAGACATGAAGAAAAATATATCAAATTTGTGTTGTTCCTCTAAAAGAAATTGAAAAAAAGTGAATATTAGACTGTTCAAAAAAAATAGCAGTGTTTGTATTCTTCTTTACAAACTCAAACATTCACTATTTAAACTGAAAAATGTTTGAAGATTTTGCTTTCCTTTGAATCACTTAATTAATATTTAGTTGTATAAGCACTGTTTCTGAGAACTGCTGTACATCTGTGTTGCATGGAGTCAACCAACTTCTGCCACCTGTGAACAGGTATTCCAGCCCAGGATGATTGGACTACATTCCACAGTTCCTCTGTTTCTTGGTTTTGCCTCAGAAACTGCATTTTTGATGTCACCCCACAAGTTTTCTATTGGATTAAGATCCGGGGATTGGGCTGGCCACTCCATAACGTCAATCTTTGTTGGTCTGGAATCAACATGTTGCACGTTTACTGGTGTGTTTGGGGTCGTTGTCTTGTTGGAACACCCATTTCAAGGGCATTTCCTCTTCAGCATAAGGCAGCATGACCTCTTCAAGTATTCTGATGTATTCAAACTGATCCATGATCCCTGGTATGCGATAAATAGGCCCAACACCGTAGTATGAGAAACATCCCCATATCATGATGCTTGTGCAACCATGCTTCACTGTCTTCACAGTGTACTGTGGCTTGAATTCAGTGTTTGGGGGTCGTCTGACAAACTGTCTCCGGCCACTAGACCCAAAAAGAACAATCTTACTTTCATCAGTCCACAAAATGTTGCTCCATTTCTCTTTAGGCCAGTCAATGTGGTCTTTGGCAAATTGTAACCTCTTCAGCACGTCTTTTTTTTCAACAGTGGGACTTTGCGGGGGCTTTTTGCAGATAGCTTGGCTTCACATAGGCGTCTTCTAATTGTAACAGTACTCACAGGTAACTTTACTTACACCTTCTTTGATCTTTCTGGAGCTGATTGGCTGAGTCCTTGCCATTTTGGCTATTCTTCTATCCATTCGAATGGTAGTTTTTCGCTTTCTTCCACGTCTTTCAGGTTTTGGTTGCCATTTTAAAGCATTTGCGATCATTTTAGCTGAGCAGCCTATCATTTTCTGCACTTCTTTATATGTTTTCCCCTCTCCAATCAACTTTTTAATCAAGGTATGCTGTTCTTCTGAACAATGTCTGGAACGACCCATTTTCCTTAGAATTTCAGAGAGAAATGCACTGTAACCAGCATGTACAACATTTGCTGCCTTCCTTCCTTAAATAAGGGCAATAATTGCCACCTGTTTTTCAAAGAATGAATAACCTCACTAATAGAACTCCACACTGCTATTATTTTGAACATGCCCCTTTCAATTAGTGATTCAATTACACAGAATCATCAGCATGCATGCATGACTGTTGGGTCTGTTGGATTTCTATTACTCTACTACACCTGCTAGTAAATCATTTGCCATATAGAAATATAATTTCTACCAAAAACAGTGATTGATCAGGTTAGTGATGTCTGACTGCTATTATTTTGAACACAACTCTGTGTGTGTATATGTATTTTTATATATAATATATATATATATATATATATATAAAATTTATTTTTTAATGCAAATAGAAATACTGTTGTCTACCTCACAATAAACATTTCCAAGAGGCCGGAGCCTGGCCATTGTATGGATTACTGGAAAATTGATAAAAATAGCACAAATAATGGTTTCCAGAGCAACAGGGGGAAATATACCACTCTCATATTGACGTATTCAAATGTGTTTAAGGAAAGTTACTGCTTCCTGCTGTTTACTCTGTTAATTGTGACAGTAGTATAAAGACGCTTGGACACTCCAGTGTATTATTCTTGTGCTATATTTGTGTAAATAGCACAGTGCTAGCAGTGGAAATGTGGTACGTGTTAGCACTGTGGGAAGGATGTACCTTAAACTTTAGCACAGTTTTATGGCATATGAAAAGTGTCATAAAGAAATGTTTATCAAAAGGTTATCAGGTAGTGAGCAGACAACATTTTGTATTAAAATAGTTCTAATTAATGTGGCTGGAGAGGTCTTTGCGGAAATGGTGTTTGGGTCACTTCTGTTCTGACAGTTTCCTAGAACAGGATTTTCCTTTGTTTATTTTTATGACAGAAATGTGTCATAGTTACTAGGGTACTGTCTGTTACAAAGTTAGACGGCAGTTTTTTTTCCTGCACGGAAGTGCGATAATCTGTTGCCAGCAAATTATTTCTCAGGCATGGTCTTGTTTAACCTATCTGCAATGGTGAGTACACTACATTTTGTATGAAGAAGCTCTGGAGCTGAAAGTTGTTACTATGGGCCTGTTGGTTTTAAGCAGGGGTGTCAAACTCAATTTCATCGCGGGCCACATCAGCATTATGGCTGCCTGCAAACGGTCTGTAAAACTATATAAATGTATCTACCCTTGTTAATATTAAAAATAATTGTCTCTGCATTTGATTATTACTGGTTTTAGTAAGAACTTAAGACTTAAGCTGTGAAGGGTAGGTGCAGACCATCACAGAGACCACTCATCTAGCAGATGATGCAAGTCTGAAAAGGAGGGTCGCAGACCACTAATATAATCCACAAGAAACTCTTATTGGTGACTTCTCAGTCAGAACATTGTTTTGCCATGGTGTTCTATCTGAGTAGTCTCCAATAACGTTTTTTGTGGATGATACCAGCAGTGTGCGACCCTCCTTTTCAACTGACATCGAATTGTATTAATAATTTTAAGCAGATGTCCAGAGCACCCCACCCTCTTTCTTATAAAAAATGTCAAGAGCCATCAGAAGTCAAGAGTACCCTACCCTCCCGTACACCCCACTTACCTTGTTCTGCTGCCAAGAAGAAGTCGGGAGGGGACAGAGCAGCGGGGAAGGTGCAAGGGCCACATGAAATGTCCTGAAAATGGTGTGGAGCAATGACATTACATTCATTGTTGAAATATTTTGACAGGAAGCCAGCTCCTGAACTACTGATTGAATATTCCAGGAAAGTGGACTTCTTAAAGGGCCTGTTAGAGGCTGAAAAATTGGTAAGTATTGGATTTAGAAGAGAGAATAAGTAAGATGCCTGTTTTTGAAGAAACCTGAACAATGGGGTAAAGGTATTGATCTTCTGCGAAAGCTTGTTTCCTGACTGTTATGTTAATGCAGTGGTTTAAATATTTTCCAAGTCACTGACTTTGAAACATTTATGCAGATCAAGAGTTCTTCTCTTGCTTGTTTGTCCCAGTCCAGTGAATCAGAAAGTCAAAGACAGACAAGACAACTATCATTTTCTGAAGGTTAGCAATGGCAGTCTTATATATCTCTCATGTGCAAGCCAGACATTAAAGCAGAACTTTAGGCAAAAACATCTTTACATGTTCTTGTTGCGGATTTCCTACCTTCACTGAATATGTCATCCATCTTCTTGTTCACTAAGTAGTTGCTCTGAAATAGCCTGTTCATTTTCCTATCAAACTGTTGATTCTTGTTGGTTTCCTGTTTTAAGACCAGTGGCTGCTATGCCTTGTATTCCTCCAGCCACTGGTCTTAGCACATCCCTTCAGTAATGAAAAATAATAAAGTGTAGCGCAACAAACTAATATCTTATATAAAAATCAATAATTAAAGTCCAGTGAAAAAGTCTCTCATAACACCACTGTGCAATGTGCACAAGATAAATCGTCTGTCTTCTTCGTTGACAACCATGCCACCACCATTAGGTGAAAAACCTGCTCACCTCACTTTGACCTCATCAGCAGGTCATTATGCGCTCAACATATGGACAGACTTGTGTACACCCTCTGTGGTCTTCTTCCAGCTCCTCTCCCAGCACCGCCACAGTATACAATCCAGCTGATGCTCTCATATATTATGTATTATGGAACACAGAAAAGTGGAACCATAGTGCTCTCTATTTATAAAACATGCAAGTGGTGGGGAGAAGCGCCTTAGTACTTTAAACTGTAAAGCTGCTACGCACAAATGAGGTACCAATAACCCCTAAAAGTCCATGATAAAAATATACAGAGTGCAGCGCTAAACATTTAACGAAAATCATAAATGATACAAAAAGTCCTCCTGCAAAAAGATGTAAGAGAATGGGTGCTCAGGTGATCAGGTGACTTGATCCTGGTATTCGTGCACGTATGTGATAAAGCAATTTGCACTCACCAGACCTGCATAAAACATGCGTCTTAGTATATATATGGTCCAGATGTCATCCGATGATGGGTGATCCTCCCTCAGCTGTATGTAAGGCTAGTGGTCCACTCCCCCTTAGGGATCCCCCTAGTGTGAGGCATCTATTTTTAAAACAATTTACTTATTAGTGCCCAGATTAAAAAACACTTACAAAATGTAAGAAACAAGCCAGCATATAATATATAATTTTGTTACATGGCTCACCACCCCGCTCTCCCTAATGGTTATCAGGTCAAAACGTCTAGGGCTCAGCTCCTTCCACCTAGCATTATGCCGCAGAGGAAGCCCGAATCCTGAGCCCTAGACGTTTTGAACTGATGACCATCCGGGAGAGCAGGTTGGTGAGCCATGTAATGAAATTATACATTACATTCTGGCTTGTTTCTTACATTTTGTAAGTGTTTTTAATCTGGGCAATAATAAATAATTTTATAAATAATAGATGGATCCACTTTTCTGTTTTCTATAATACATATTATATGAGAGCATCAGCTGGAGGAGTGTATACTGTGGTGGTGCCGTTAGAGGAGCTGGAGGAAGACCATAGAGTGGTGTACACAACTCTGTCCATATGCTAAGCGCATAATGACCTACTGATGAGGTCATAAAGTGAGGTAACCAGGTTTCTCACCTAATGGTGGTGGCACGGTTGGCCAGAGAGAAGATTTATCGTATACACATTGCACAGTGGTGTTATAAGAGACTTTTTCATGGGACTTTAAATATTGGGGGGGTTTTTTATTGATTTTTTTATATATTAGTTGTGCTACACTTTATTGTTTTTTTTAGCAGCAACTATTTAGAGCACTATCATATTATTTTAGGGTGTGTTGCGCTGATTTAATAGGGGTTTACATCCCTTCTGTAGTTCTTTCTCCAGGAAGCAGTGATGTAATTCAGCCCCATTTGCAGTGGCGGGCGAATCGAGACTCTCGGACACATTCAACATGTACAGGCCTAGTGTACCCACCAACATTCACTACAATTCCTTGTGATTGATGGGAACTGTAGTTTCCTTTTACTGCAGAGAGAGGGGAGAGGATATGATGAAATCCTGCTTTTACACCTCCTTCCTTGGTAGAGCAGATTCAGTTATCTTTTGAATTATAGAGATGAAGTCATGAAAATTCAATTAAACTTTTCTCCTAAAAAGTGAGCATTTTCAAATTTTTATTTAGTGTTTGTGCAGGGGGTGTAATAATAGGTGATTTTTTTTTTTTTTGCTTATCCTGGAGTTTTTCTTTAACTAAACATCGGACCACCAAGAGATGACTCTCTTGGCCATGTAGACTCTCATCCAATTGGTGAACATGTGCATGGCATCCCACTGCTTCTCACATCTTGGGGTAAGGGATTGATTGCGTAAGAAAAAAAATGTTGAAAACACTTGATGCATAATGGTCAGTTCATGCTGTCAAGTAGCCATTAAATAATTGCTACAAAGTGAGCGAAGCTTTATTTAGCCACCTAGGAGGCTTGTGCAACTACCAGAGTATGAATAAAAACAGATGGGGACAAGATGTAGGTGTTCAGTTCTGGCGACACTTGTTTGATCAGTTGTCCAAGCAGTGGCTTATTTCCACTACTGCATAACTTCCTGTAGTATATAAAGTGTGATATACTGTACGTACTTATATTTTAAGCAAACCAGGTTTCATTCATGGCAAAAACCTTATGTAAATATAAGATCCAATAAGGTGATCCATTAATTACAGTTTCATACTACAAAAATGTATGGCTTATGATTTTTACAGATTTGCTCTCACTGTTTCTTGAAATGAGCATTTAAGGTCATGAAATCAGTTATGCTCTAAATAAATCAATGGCAAGATGTAACCAGTCATGTATAAAGTATGTTTACTTAGTTGCAACAATCATTAACATGTATCACCATGGAAAATTGTAATGCGTTTGTCACTTGCTCTGACAGACAGCATTTGTTTGCCCACTTTTATTTATAGTTACACAACTTGTAAATATGATTTGAATGAACTTAGAATATTACATTTGAAAAAAAAATAAGATATGAATAGCATTAATGTATTGCAGGGGTAGGTAACCCTTTAGTATAGTGTGACGAAAAATATTTTCAAAGAAATTGTGTGAAGTTGGTATTTTTTCTTGTATAGTTAGCACTCTCAATCACGAAAAGGGTTTTTATAAACTAAATGTTTTAAACAACTTCAATAACAGTAAGAAATTAATATTGAGCTTTGCACCTTCTCACCTCAAATCAGCCCAATTCCTGCACTACAGACCTCAGATCACCCCATTTACTGCATCTTCACACCTCAGATCACCCAAATTCCTGCACCGTCACACCTCAGATTAAACTCAATTTCTGCAGTTTTAGACCTCATATAAGCCCAATTCCTGCACCTTCCTACCTTAGATCAGTTCAAATTCCTTCACTATCAGACCTCAAAAAAGCCCCAATTCTTGTACCTTCAGACCTCAATTCAGCCCAATTCCTGTGCTATAGACGTCAGATGAGCCCCAATTCCTAAACCGTTACACCTCAAATCTGCCCCAATTCCTGAACCTTCACAGGAATTGGGGCTGATCTGAGGTGTGAAGGTTCAGATCAACCCAGTTCTTGCACCATCACACCTCACATCACACCAGTTCCTGCACCATCATACCTCACATCACCCTAATTCCTGTACCATCACACCTCACATCACCCTAATTCCTACACCTTCAAAACTCAGACTAGCAACAATTCCTGCACCATCAGACCTCAGAACACCCCAAAGCCTTCACCTTCCCACCCGAGATCAGTCCAAATTCCTTCACCTTCACACCTCAAACCAGCTCAATTCCTGTGCTATAAACTTCAGAACGTCCCAATTCCTGCAGCTTCACACCTCAGATCAGCCCCAATTCCTGAACTTAACACCTCAAATCAGCCCTAATTCTTGCAGCATCACACCTCAGATCACCCCAATTCCTGCACCAACATACCCCACATCACCCCAATTCCTGCACCATCACACCCCACATCACCCCAATTCCTGCACCACCACACCCCACCTCGCCCCATTCCTGCACCAACAAAGCTCAAATCGCCCTAATTCCTACACCTCCACATCTCAAATCACCCCAATTCCTGCACCTTCACATCTCAAATCACCCCAATTCCTGCACCTCTACATCTCAAATCATCCCATTTCCTTCACCTCCACATCTCAGACCAGCCCAAATTCCTGCACCTTCACAGCTCAGATCACCCCAATTTCTGTACCTCCATACTTCAGATCAGCCCTAACTCTTCAACTTTCACACCTCAGATCAGTCCCGAATTTTGCACCATTACCCCTCATATCGGTCCCAATTCCTGCATTATCATGTCTCAGATCACCCCAAATCCAGCACCTTCACATCTCAAATCAGTCCAAAATTCTGCACCTCTAAATTAGTAGTTCCCAATAGCTTTTTAATTAGCAGTCCAAAATTAGAGCAGTCAGATGAAGTGTCTGACTCAACACCAGGACTGGATCTAGCCTGTCTGATGTGGGGGTGCAGTAAAAAATGTCAGGGGGGCACAGCACGGGAGGTCAGCAGGGCAGAGGACGGGGTTATCAGGACACTGTACAGGGATCAGCAGGGTGGAAGACAGAGGTCAGCAGGGAGGAGAATGGGGTCAACAGCGCATAGGACAGAAATTAGCAAGACAGAGGATGGGGTCAGCTGGGTAGTGTATAGGGGTTAGCCGGGCAGAGGACCAGGTGCCAGCAGGGGGTAGGATGGGCGTCAGAGGGGCATAGGATGAGCAACAGCGGGGCAAGGGACGGGGTCACTGCTGACAAAGCACTCAGCAGAGCTGCTCCTCCCAACACTGCACACAGCTAAGATCTGATTCTTTTCCAGGCACCTGGACCTGAACTCTTTCCAGACACCTGAACCTGGATTTGCACAGTATGTAGCTGACTGTTGCAGCTGTGCTGCATTTCTGATCTGAGGATTGCATAGGTCAGAACTGCAACTGTCAGCTACACGCTGTGCCGATTGAGGTTGTGCCTGAAAAAGAATCAGATTAGCTGTGTGCAGTGTGGGGAAGAGCCACTTAGCTGCACCTCTTGTGTCAAGTCTGAGGATGGGAGGAAGAGCTTACTGAGTCCGACCCAGGCATGGCATCCATGGGAGAGTGGCATGGCATGATGCACCTCCCCCTTAGATCTGGCCATCCACTTCTTCAATGTCAGCTGTGGGCAAGCCAGCTGAGGTGGGTGGGAGCGGAGGCAGGCGGGCAGTGAGATGATTCCAGCCATGCTCCCTCCTTTGTAGAGGCAGCCGCAACTGCCAGAAGGCTTCACGGGTGCGTGGGAGGTGGGTGTCCCAGGCATCTCTTGCCAGCATAAATGTGGTTGCGTGCCGTGTCTGGCATGCATGCCGGGGTTTGCTGACCCCTGATGTTGGTTTATAAAGTAGGTAAAACACCTAAAGCTGGTGCAAACAAAAGCAGGCCACATTCCAAGATTCTTCCTGTTGTTCCTGGGGATTACCGGGGATTGCATGTAGTCATCACACTGAACATTCAGGGCCCTTGTACACCAGCAGCTGCATTAGAATGCAGCCACTGGCATGCGATGTGATGACTCTAATGCAGATGTCCCTTAAACAGTGCAGTGCAATATTTCCTTTTTTGCCTTTGAAGACATGGGGCATTTGAAGGATTGTATGGATAAAAGAGGTAATATAGTCCTTAAAAGAGCCTGGGAGACTAGCGTGGCTAGCCTAAAACCCGCCTTAGCTACAACCTCTGTCGCAAGAAATTTGGATTTCTGGTTGACTCAGTTACAGGATCACATTAAGAATGGCACTGCGAGTGATGAGATTCTGAATTCCATGCCGGTTGTCTTCAAAGCAGTCGGTTACATCGTGGATGCATTAGCTGAGTCGGTTAAGCTCTTCGCAAGAGCAGGGGCTGTGACAGTGGCAGCCAGAAGGGCTATCTGGCTAAAAACCTGGTCCAGGGATGCAGTATCTAAGTTAAGGTTATGTAATCTTCCCTTTTCAGGAGACTTGCTGTTCAGGCCAGGTTTGGATGTGGCCTTGGAGAGAACAGCAGACAAGAAAAAGGCTTTTCCTGCAGAAAAGCAAAAACCTTTCCAGAGGAGGTTTTTTTAGGGCCAAAAGGACCGTCCTCCAGAAGAAAGAAGGAAACAGCTGAAAAGCACTGGGCTGGTCACAAGACCCAAGAGCAACGTCTTGTTTGGCTCTTTTGGTGCAACCACAAAACAACAGTGACTTCAGGACGCCAGAGGGAGGAAGGCTGGCTACCTTCCTTCCCCAGTGGCAGAAGATTACAGTCAATGAATATGTCCTCGACATCATCGCCAAGGGTTATGCTCTGAAGTTCAACACTATCCCTCCAGAAAGATTTGTTCTGACGAAACTTTCAAGAGATCCTGAAAAGGCTCAAGAACTCCCTCTCCTCCTGGGGGAAATTGTAGACCAAGGAGTGCTCATCCCAGTTCCGAAGGAAGAAAGAGAAAAGGGGTTTTATTCTCATGTGTTCGTGGTCAAGAAGCCGTCGGGAAAATTTCATCTGATTCTAAATCTCAAATCCTTGAACAAGGCGATTCGTTACAAGAGATTCTGGATGGAATACATTTTTTTTCGAAAAAAAACATTCTTTACCAAAAAGCGTTCATGGCAACCATGGACTTGAGGGACACCTACCTCCATGTCCCCATTCGAGAAGACTCACAGAAATTCTTGAAGCTGGCGGTAGAGATAGATGGAAAGGAGTGTCTTCCCTTTGGCCTTTCCTCTTCACTGAGAATATTTATGAAGGCACTGGCAGAGGCTCTAGCACTATTGAGGTTAAAGTCCATGATAGTAGCCCTGTATCTGGACGACCTCCTGTTTGTGGCTGTGGCACAGCTGACAGAATATCTGATTCAAGCACATCAGGGGTTGAAGTACCTGGGATAGATTCTCAACCTGGACAAGTAAAATCTTTGTCCCACTCAAAACCTCCTGTTTCTAGGTTACTATCTCAGGCAGGTCAGTAGACCAGAAGACAGTACTTCCAGAAGAGAAAGCTCAAAATTTAATCTGAAGAGTGGGGGCTCTACTGAACAATCAGCCAGTATCCGTGCGAGAACTGATGTCAGTATTAGGTTTAATGTTATCAGCATTCCCAGCTGTTCAGTGGGCCAGGTTTCACCTAAGTCCCTTACAGTCCTTTCTACTGCAAATATAAGGGCAGGAGGACCTGGACAGAAAGGTATGTCTGCCAGCAGCAGTGAAGAGAGCACTATGGTGATGGAGAGACCGCACACTCCTATGTCAGGGATTCTTCTGGTCATTTCCGATTTCGCAGAAGCTGGTGACAGATGCGAGCTGGTGGGGCTGGGGAGCCCACCTAGGGAGGCAGCCAGCCCAAGGGAAATGGACCCTAGAGGAAGTCCAGGCATCTTCAAATAGGAGGGAACTTATGGCAGTAGCAAGAGCCATTTTCTATTTTCAGGATCAGATGAGGGGTCACCACCTCATGGTCCAATCCGACAATTCGGCCACAGTCACATATCTAAACAAACAGGGGGGCACCAGAAGTCCTTCCATAATCAAGATTTCAGATCTGCTGGTGGGCAGAGAAGAATCTTATATCCATGCCGGTGGTTCACCTAAAAGGAGATCACAACCAGGTGGTGGATTTCCTCATTTGCCAAGATGTGTCACAAGGGGAATGTAAACTGCATCCGGAAGTGTTTGTGGAAATTACAGAGTGTTGGGGATGGCAGAAATAAATCTTTTATTATCAGCCAGAAATACAAGAGTGGATCTTCTTTATTCCTTAAATCCTCGAGATACAGCCCTGGTGATAGATGCTCTCCAGAATCCTCGGAATTTCAGAAAGTGCTTCGTCTTCCCCAGTTCACCTGATCCCCAGAGTTCTGAACAAATTCCTACTAGAAAGGACAACATTAATTCTGATCACTCCGCTCTAGCCCAAAAGGGTGTGGTTTTTGCAACTCCTCTCCCTTTCGACAGAACAACTCAGGGAAGATATGATGTGGCAAGGGTCTTGTAATCACCTCAAGCCAGGAAATTTCAAGTGGACAGCCTGGCTTCTGAAAAAAAGTTGTTAAAAACAAAAGGGCTCTCAGAAAAGATTGTGGAGACCTTAGGGAGCGTTAGGAAGCCGAATACCAGAGTCATTTGCAAAAAGGTGTGGAAAAAGTTCAACTCATAGTGCTGTGAAAACAATAGTTTGATTGACACTCCAGCGATTCTGGAATTCTTGCAACAGGGGTTGGAAAAGAGACTTACACTAAGCACTCTAAAAGTTCAAATAGTGCCTCTATCCATTTACCTTGAGAGCTCTCTGCAAGAACACCCTCTAATTTCAAGATTTTGCAAGGCCATGGGTAAGAACAAACCATCTGAGTCCTGGAAATGTCCCAATTGGGACTTACTGGTAGTGCTGAGAGGTATCATCAAACCTCCGTTTGAGCCACTGCAGGAGGCCTTACTATGCAGCTTAACTCTGAAGACAGTCTTCGTAATGGCCATCACCACGGCCCGCAGGATAGGGGGAATTCAGGCTCTGTCTATCAGGGAGCCTTTCCTAAGGATTTTAGGTAATAGAATCATTTTGCAGACAGATCCAGGCTTCATACCAAAGGTCGCCTCGGCCTTTCACAAATCCCAAGACATTGTGTTACCCTCCTTCTGTAACACACCCTCCAACAGTAAGGAGCAGGACCTGAGCTTCCTGGATGTCAGGAGATGTTTGTTGACATACCTTGAGGTTACAAGCCAATTTAGGTCTTCAGCAGCCTTGGTTCTGCTATATGAGGGGAAGCAGAAAGGTAAGTAGGCGTCCAAAAAACCTTAGCTAGGTGGATTAAGCAAGCGATCATTGAATGCTATGGAATCATGCGACTTCCTCCACCGAAGGTTCTAAAGTCACACTCCACTAGGGCTTTAGCGGCTTTGTGGGCAGAAAAAATGGGCGCTACCCTGGAGCAAATCTGCTGAGCGGCAACCTGGTCAAGGTTCTCCACTTTTGTCTGGCATTACCGTGTACCTTATTTCCAGGCACACAGCTAACAGCTTTTAAGGATTCACTCCTGCCAACTGATATATTAAATTATGTTTAGTAGATTAGGATAGCCAACCTATAATAGGAAGTGTGTTACTGGATGAATCAACAGGTTCATGGGGGGGGGGGAACTTATGCAGTTACCACATCTAAGGATTCGTAAGGTACTATATATTCAATATTTGTTTTTGAATTTAGCTATACTTTAAAATGGAGGAGTATATGTCCTCCAAAATACTGACCAGATGTATAAAGCTGTTATTGATTTTAAAATATTAAAGCAGATCTCACAAGCATCTCATTGAGTGGGAGACCTATCTAGTTACCCTTGCTAGCCAATAAAACATGCATAATGCTTTGTCAAAGAGGTAAAATAACAAGATTTAGGCATTAATAATGTTGAAATGGACTACTTGTTTGGACCATATGACTAATAAAACTGTGTTCATTTCCTGCAGTCATCTCCCACTGAAAAAGCCTTGGCTAATCAGTTTCTTGCTCCTGGGCGCACACCTACAATCAGCAAGGAATGTACACCAGTGACCAAGACTGTCCATCTTCAAACACAAGCACGTTACACAGGGGAGATGAGGAGTGAGCTGCTGGAAAAGGTGAGCACAAAGTAGCTAATGACTGGGCATGATCACAGGAAACATCTCATTCACACGCAGCAGCAATACTTGCTGTTTATGCCTAAGCCCATATAATTAGCTGTGTGTGCTGCACCATACAGCTGAATAATCAAGATTTAATCTAATTTCTGTGGGTGATGTTTGATCCCTTGCCTGATCATTTCAAAACAAACAAATTTTATAATTCCACCTGCTTGTAGGTACATATGCCAAACCCACACCATTGGCATACTGAGTAGGCTTTCTGCATACAGAATTTATAGCACCCCCTGTTTTTTTCCCCCTTGTGACACACTGGTACCTGAGTACTTCATCTCCTTAGGACATGTTTTTTTATATTATACTAGAATTGGTCTTGAAAAAGCTTGTCCATACATGGGTAGCCACCACCTAGAGTCTGTAGACACCTATGAACTGTGGTGAAATGAAATTTATATGTGAAATGTGAAATATATAATGCCATGCCACCAGCTATACACTGTACATGTTATGAATGCCTATTGTATAATATAATTATAAGATAATGAGATCTCTTTAAAAGTGGCATGAAAACTAAAAGAATCCTTGATTGTATTGCCATTAGTCAGATTGCCCTTTCTAAAATGTCCACTTAAATACACACCACTGATGTACAAAAGTGATGTTTACACTACTATTCCAAACCCAGATCCATGCATTGTTCCTCTGTTCATATGCTTCCAGCTATGCTGCAGCACACCTGACTATAGAGAATAATGACCGCCTTTGGCATTCTTGCCAACCTTAGGATAAGGACTACTATTATTTTCAAAGGCTAGGCATCAAAGGACCATTGAGAGTGGTTATCCTTTTGACTTTATAGTAAAATAAATATGAGTTCAAAAAAGCAATTGATTTATTTAATCATTTACATTTTTTATGTTATTCTTTTATTTAAAAAGAATACAACATTTCAAAATGCACCTTGCTTGGCCTCTGGTAAAGTCACTGTATGGCCCCCTTTAAGTCCATAGAAATAAATTAATCTAAACTAAACTTTAGTCACGTATTACCCGATTAAGCTGCAAATTATACCAGCACTATATAAATATATAAATTAATAAATATAATGCACAATGAAGAAACTTTCATTAACCAGATTTTACTTTAATACAAGGCCAGACAGGCCTAAGGTGACTGCAGCATCTTAGTACTAGTGTAAAAGGCTAACTCATTATAAGACAAAAACAGTATCTCCATCCAAGGTTAAACATCAACTAAACAAGGAACACCTTATCCCTGTTAGTCAAAGTACTATCAAGACAGTTAGCACACTGCAAACTTCATGGAAAAGTACCAGCTTCAAGACAGTCTTTGACAGCAAAGTATGTTAAGTTTTAGTACGGACTAGATAGTTTAAAAGATTTGTGTTAGAGTTTGGAAGAAAATACTGTTTACAGATCAATCAAAATGTAAATTTACTTGTGGAACTTATTTGGCACTACGGGAGGGTTTAAAGTACTTATACATGTTAACAGTACATGAACCAGCAGACTTGTTTGTGTTGATGTTTTACTTTTCTAGAGTTGGTGATTTGCTGAGGATCAATTACAGTGATCAAAATGTAGTACTGCTATTTTGCACAGACTTGTCTTACCCTCAGTCTTAAAGCGGAGGTCCAGTCAAAAAAATAAAAGTCAGCAGCTACAAAAACTGTAGCTGCTGACTTTTAAAAAAACAGACACTCACCTGTCCAATGATCCAGCTGTGTGTTCACACCAGCCAGGTTTACTGGCCTTCCTAATTTGTCACGTGTCCCAGAAGACTATGGGGAGGGAGGGAGAGAACAACTTCCGTTTCTGATTGCCGGACGATCGCAGCTGAGTACCCGCACCGCTTTAGCATTGTGTGGAGAAGGATTTGTTTTTTACTGGGGCAAGGAATGTGTAAGTAACTGTGACATGGCTTCCCATTTTAGAGAGAGAAAATAAGTGGAGTTTAACACAGTGTATTTTAACACTTTATCATAAAAGTCAAGTTATATTACAATGGCGTAGTCCCTTATTGTTAGAGCAGTAATTTTTTTGTAGGTTAACGCAGAAATACACTGCGTCAGGGCAACATCTACCAATGATGCTATTAAATTCATTTTTAATGTTCAGAGCACACTCACCCATCCATCCATGACTTTCTGCTTTGTTTTGTTGAGAAATCACTTTGAAAAACACCCCCTTGCATTTTTGGCTGTGACCATCTTGTGTAAGGGCAGATGATTAACATACCATTTACTTCCTGGAATCCCTCTGCCCTTAGCTCAGGCATGCAGACAGGAGGGTGTGCTTAACTGGGAAAATACTTTCTCCCCCTCCTAAAGTCTTCTGGGATGTAGGACATAATTTGCCTAGGCCTGGAAACCCGTAATAAAAAGTTTAAAACAAGTAAATATGATATACTTTCCTATCTATTTACTAATGCTAGCTGCATAAGGACTTAAAATAGTCAGTGTTGATTCAGAGAGATGTTTTTCTTTAAGCAAAGTGTCAAATTATAGCGTTGTGTATAATAATATCATACAAGTGATCAAGGTTATAACGGTATCAAAAAATAAATACACAGAAACAATTTAAGATTCCCATAACACAACAAAACTGTCTCCACAAGACAACCTTGAATAAGAGACTAGGCCTTGTCATGTCTGTCTATATCACCATAGAAGAAGATTTGAATTGTTTGGGGTTCTTGCAAGAAAACCTTCACATGAAATGTGTTGCTCATTTTCAGTTATTAGATTAACCACTTGCTGACCGCAGATAGCCGAATGACAGCTTCACCGCGGCCGGCCAGTTCTGAGAGGGCGTCATATGATTTCCCCCCAGAACGTGCCATCCCGTGCACCTCCGGGGGTGCACACCCGGCGATCTCCATGATCGCTGTGTCCTACGTGATGTGGTAAAAGGCCAATCACAGCGGCCTTTTACCACATGATCAGCCGTGTCCAATGACGCAGCAGATCACCGGTAAATGCAGTTGCCGGTTATCGGCTGCACTTTTCCTCACACTGTCACAATTGTCAGAGGACAGATCGGCACCGATCATCAGGGCCCAGCAGTGCCACCCACCTGTGCCCAGCAGTGCCACCCACCTGTGCCCAGCAGTGCCACCCACCTGTGCCCAGCAGTGCCTAGTAGTGCCACCCACCTGTGCCCATCAGTGCCACCCATCAGTGTTGCCCAGCAGTGCCATCAGTCAGTGCCACCCATCAGTGCAGCATCATCAGTGCTGCCCATCAGTGCAGCATCATCGGTGCCGCCTATCAGTGCTCCCTATCCATGCCCATCAGTATTGCCTCATCAACTCACATCAGTGAAGGAGAAAAATTACCTGGTTGCAAAATTTTATAATGGGAGCAAAACATTTTCGCTATTTTTTTGTTTATAGCACAAAAAATAAAACACCCAGCGGGGAGTACATGCCACCAAAAGAAAGCTCTATTTGTGTGAAAAAAATGATAAAAATGTCATATGGGTACAATGTTGCATGATTGCGCAATTGTCATTCAAAGTGCGACAGTGCTGAAAGATGAAAATTGACCTGGCCACGAAGGGGGTTTAAATGCCCAGTAGGCAAGTGGTTAAAGCCTACCTGTTATTTTTAAATCTTTTGTTATGCAGCATCAGCTACATACAGTATACAGCTCTAAGTTCAAGCAGGTGGATGGGAACTTCTTATCCTATTCCTCGAACTAAATCAAGTCAGACTGAGCGCTGCTCAGTGATTCACAGGATACTTTGTATTTTCTGAATAAGTACAAGGCTTCCTCCGAATGGCTAAAGTGGAGATTGTGATATCATCCATTCCACTGCTGGAACACAGCTGTGTATACTGAATGTAGCTAATGCTACATTTAGTTTTATGCAGCGATTAAGGCTCCATGTACACGAGCCTATCCTGTCCTCCGGCCACGAGCAAATGCAAATTACGTCAAAACCACAATTTTGCAGTGGTTTTGCCACGTTTTGTGGTTTCCCATGGTCGGCGGTCAAAATGTTCCTATCCTGAACACGATTATTCCGCGTTCAGAAGGAGTTTTAACTGCACCTGAATACTACTGCAGCTCCTAAACTCTTCTTAAAACCTATGTGTACTTGTACACATAGGCTTTTATGGAGTTGAGTTTAGGAGCTTTGGCAAAAAAATGCCAAAAGCTCGAGTTTAAACTCGAGTTTAGGAGCTGCTTGTGTACATGAAGCCTAACAGTGAGTGCATCTGTTAGTTTAGGTCATTCTTCATTTGAATCGATTTGGTCCACACAAATTATTTTAAAGTGACTGAAAGCTGGAGTTAGACTTTAAATTAACTCTGCCTAGTTATAATTGCCAAAAAACTTTTCTTGTTCACCTTGGTTTTAAAAGTACCTTTGCATTTGTCACTGAAAGCTTTTTAAAGCGGACATTTACTCTTTTGCATTCCTTGGTTCCTCTGGACTTCCATTTCCCCCTTATTACCAGGGTTTTGGTTTTTTTTTTCAATCATACCTCAGTCCTCATCACATCCTTAGTACTCATCTCAGGAGCCTTCAGCCCTGTTTGGGAGTATTTATGCAGATAAAATGCCCGGATAAATATTTCCATAAGTTGCTCCCGGAATTAGAAGGTGTTCTAATTTTCGCAGTGGATTCTAACTTAGTCCTGGATCAAGAGTTCATTAAATCTCATGGTTTACAAGAAGATCTACTTGACCTTTATGATGCTTGAAGAACGCTCAATCCTAATACTAGAGACTATACTCACTATTCTACAGCTCATAAACAATATTCTAGAATTGACCACATTATTGTCTTTTCAGCTTAACCTTCAAACTATAGAACGCTAAGATTTGAACTGCCTCCTGGTCGGATCATGACCTAGTGGCGATCTCTTTTCAGATCTCACATCATCCCATCCGAGATCCTATTGGGGATTAAATGAATCTTTGCTGGGAAATGACTCTTATTGTTTTGATATTGTTCTTGAATGTAGAGATTACTTTGCCCTGAAAAACTCAAATGACACTTCTGCTGTGGTGAATTGGGTGGCACACAAAGCTGTCATAAAATAAATGAATATCAGTCTCTGGCTAAGGCACATAAACATACTCAGGATCACTCCCTTTTAGCTAGAACAGGCCCACACTGAACTGAACGTTTGTCTTATCACTAGAGCAGAAAATTATTTGGGGGGGGGGGGGGGGTCTTAAACGAAAAGAGCCTTATTTAAAAAATATATATCCCTGCGCCAATCAAGATCAAATAAATGAATAAATAAATCACTCTTCTAAATTGCTGCTGTACAAAAATTGTGAATACACAAACAAGTGAAATGTGAAAAATAAACAGCGCAAAATAGATATTATTAAATAACAAAATAACAAAAAAAAACAAAACAGAAAAGAGCCTTATACCAAAACTCTCAACAAGTCTTGGAGGAATTCCATGCCTACTATAAGAATATCTATTGTCAATCCCCAGCTAATATTTCCTTCCGAATCTCCAAATTTTTCGACAATCTCAGTCTTCCAACCCTTATAACTCAACATATGGAGCACAAGGACAAACCACTTACATATTAGGAGATTTTTTTTTTGCAGAAGAAATCTGCCTTTTATTTGGTGATAAATGGTAATGGATATCTCCTGTCTTTTTATCATCAAAGGAAAACTGGCCCAAAATAGTAAAAAAAAAAAAAAAAAAATTTTTTTTTTTTAATTTAGCTGTGCGTTTCTTGTTACTACCATAACCTACCACCAAAGACCATAAAAACATTCTCCAGCTTCTGACGATTGCAGTGATACCACATATGTGTATTTTATTTGTTGTTTGTACCCGTAGTACAGCACAGAAACAGTAGTGTGTATTTTGCTTTTTTTGGTCCTACCTAAAACAATGACATTGATACTAATTAGGAAAAAAAAAATCCTGACCTTTTAATCTGACCTTGACCAAAACACTAACCCTGGCATTGACCTAGCTCGAACCTTGATTTTTTCTTTATTTTTTCTCTTTTATTTTTTAATATATTTTTTTCTCTCTGCATGGGAAGAGAGAGATACCATGTATCTCTCTCCTCCATTCAGAGAGAGAAAACACGGGGGCAGGCTTCACAGTGACTGATCACTGTGAAGCCAATCAGAAGCTATCACACCAATCGGGTGACCCGGAATTGGTTTAGTCATGTCTTTTTTAGTGTATTGTACATATTTTCAGTCTCTGGTTGATGTATGTTGAATGGAACTGCTATCTACTCTTTTCATGGCAATACTTTGTTCCCTGACATTATTGTATTGTCATTGTATATCTTCTGTGAAGGGATTTGCTTTCTATTTTACTCTATATTATTGCTTGAAAAAATTCTGAATAAACAGACTGTAATTTAAAATGCATTGATAGGTGGTTACCAGTATGGAGGAGTGGGAGTTCCTAGGCAGGCTTTATTTGCCTGTAGACTGCCAAGGTAATGTCAACACATGAAACAGGGAAGCAAAGAGCCAGATAATGCTGGAAGTCTTCCAGCCAGGAAATGAGGCGGTTCTATCTGACATGGTGTAGTAATGCTGGAGTTCAGCTTTGAGTATGGTAAACTGAATATTTGATAGAATTAAATGCACATAGTGATAAAAAGTATAATGGGATGGGAATCTTGACATCTGGACTGCTGTGGGGTTTTTTTTCTTTGTTGTTTGTTTTTTTGAGAGCTGAGCCTGCTTTTACTTGGTATTGGTATATAGTTTGGTCATGAAGACATGTTGATCGTTCTTGAACTGATATATTTGTATTTGAATTGCAAATAACATATCACACATCACTTTGTATTTAGGTACATGTACTTTCATGATTTAATATTTAACTATTTTTCCTTTTTTTCCAGAATTCCATCTCTTCTACTGGTAATTTTTTTTCACTGTAAAATATTGCATTTAATTATAATAATAATATAATAAGAACTTGTATAATATATAAGAACTTGGATACTAGGAACTAGACTTTAGGCTATAGAATAAATGCACTTTCACTATGAATTATACATTTGTATTTGGCCATTGAGCCTCTACAAAAATACTGATTACAGTGCTCAGTATGAGTACATCCCTTTTTAAAAAGTAAGATTTTAATCAATATCTCAATTAAGACAAAAACAATTTTCAAACTTTTGACAAAACTGAGTTTTATAGAACATTCAGTTAGCTCATTACATGAAAGTAAGGTTAATAATATAACTTAGATTACAAAATGTTCAGTTTTACTCAAATTAGTTGATGCAAAAATGAATACACTCCACAACAAAAGCTATACTATCTAGTGTTTTGTATGACCATCATCATTTGTAAGGACAGCACCAAGTCTTCTAGGCATGGAATGAACGAGTTGGCGACATATTGCAACATTTATCTTTTTTCATTCTTCAAGAATGACCTCTTTTAGAGCCTGGATGCTGGATGGATAGTGATGCTCAACTTGTCTCTTCAGAATTCCCCATATGTGTTCAATTGGGTTCAGATCAGGAGACATAGTTGGCCACTTTCACCCTGTTCTTCTTCAGAAATGCAATAGTGGCCTTAGATGTGTGTTTTGGATCATTGTCATGTTGGAAAAGTGCACGACGACCAAGGGCACGGAGTGATGGTAGCATCTTCTTTTTCAATATAGAGCAGTATATCTGGGAATTCATGATACCATCAATGAAATGCAGCTCCCCAGCACCAGCAGCACTCATGCAGCCCCACAGAAGGACACTGCCACTACGATGATTCACTGTAGGCACCATGCATTTTTCTTTGTTCTCCTCAACTTTGCAATGCCATAGTTTTTTGAAGCCATCAGTTCCAAAAACCTTTATCTTGGTCTCATCATTTCAGAGTACAGAGTCCCAGTAGTCTTCTTTTTTTCAGCATTGGCCCAGGCAAATTCTAGGTGGGCATTTTTGCGCATGGCTTTAGAAGAGACTTCCTTCATGGACGACACCCATGCATGCCATTCCTCTGCCATGTACGCCGTATTGTGTCATGGAAAACAATCAACCAGCAAACACAAATGCTCCTGTGCTTGGGGATGGACTCGATGCAGGCTACAACCACATTAAGAATGTCCTGGAACATGCACACCTTGCTGCCCTCAAATAGACCGGGGGAATCTAAATATACTGAATGAGGAAAGAAAAAACAGAGGGCACACAGGCCTAGTGCATTACCATAAAAAATAAAGTATGTGTTGTACTCACAAACGACAATAAAGTCAAGGCACATCATAAAGAACAGCTGGGTCAACACCGCGCTGAGTAACAGTCCACAATAGGGAGTGTAGACATCCAATAATCTGACACGTTTCGAGGACTTGCCTCTTCCTCAGAGCCCAAAGGCATTAGCACTAGGCCTGTGCGCCCTCTGTTTTTTCTTTCCTCATGGAAAACAATCACCCCAGTTTGGCTTTCTACTTCTTTAGCAAACTGCAGTAAACGTGCATGGCGATATTCTTCAACACTTCTCATCTGAAGACTCTCCTATTGAGGTGTTAACTTCCGTGGATGGCCTAGACGTCTATGTGAGATGGTTGCAGTTCCATCTTTGGTAACTTTTTGTATCACCTTTGCTACAGTATTCTGACTGATAATTAAACCTTTGCTGATCTTCTTGTAGCCTTCACCTTTCTTGTGTATAGAAATTTTCTTTCTCAGGCCTTGTGACACTTCTCTTTCATGTGGTGCCATTGCTGACAGCATGAAATGAGAAGGGTTTTTCTTTAACACCCTTTTATAATCAACTGTCCGCTGGACACCTGTTTAATGAATAAATAGACTAACCTGTAGTTGATTTATTGTTAATTAGATTAGGATTTTGTTGACTAGAATTTAGCTTTGCTCCTAAGACTTTCAGGGGGGTGTATTCATTTTTGCAACATGGTCTTGAATGAATTTGTTAGCAAAAATACTTTTTTTGTGTGTGCAAATTACCAAATCTTGTCTGCAATCAATGGCTCGCATTTGTAGAAGTATTTTGTAGTATAGCGTCTCTTAGAAAATGTTGATTCTGATAGGAAAGTAAAGGATTTCTGATAAATCTTTTGGGATATACAGGTGAAACTCTAGAAATTAGAATATCATGCAAAAGTTCATTTATTTCAGTAATGCAACTTAAAAGGTGAAACTAATATGTGAGATTGACTCATTTTATGTAAAGCAAGATAGTTCAAGCCGTGATTTGTCATAATTGTGATGACTATGGCTTACAGCTCATGAAAACCCCAAATCCACTATCTCAGAAAATTAGAATATTACATGCAATCAATAAAACAAGGATTGTACATATAACAATATCGGACCTCTGAAAAGTATAAGCATGCACATGTGCTCAGTACTTGGTTTGGGCCCCTTTTGCAGCATTTACTGCCTCACTGTGGCATGGGCATGGCAGCTATCAGCCTGTGGCACTGCTGAGGTGTTATGGAAGACCAGGATGCTTCAATAGCGGCCTTCAGCTCTTCTGCATTGTTCAGTCTCATATCTCTCATCTTTCTCTTGACCGTGCCCCATAGATTCTCTATGGGGTTCAGGTCAGGCGAGTTTGCTGGTCATTCAAGCACAGTAATCCCACGGTCATTGAACCAGGTTTTGGTACTTTTGGCAGTGTGGGCAGGTGCCAAGTCCTGCTGGAAAATGAAGTCAGCATCCCCATAAAGCTAGTCTGTGGAAGGAAGCATGAAGTGCTCCAAAATCTCCTGGTAGATGGCTGCGTTGACCCTGGACTTAATGAAACAGAGTGGACCAACACCAGCAGATGACATGGCTCCCCAAATCAACACAGACTGTGGAAACTTCACACTGGACTTCAAGCATCTTGCAGTGTGTGCCTCTCCATTCTTCCTCTATACTCTGGGTCCTTGGTTTCCAAATGAGATGCAAAAGTTGCTCTCATCAGAAAAGAGGACTTTGGACCACTGAGCAACAGACCAGGTCTGTTTTTCTTTAGCCCAGCTAAGACGCTTCTGACGTTTGTTGTTGACAAGAGGAATACGACATTTGAAGCCCATGTCCAGGATCCGTCTGTGTGGTGGCGGCTCTTGATGCACTGACTCCATCCTCAGTCCACTCCTTGTGAAAGTCCCCCAACACTTTTGAATGGCCTTTTCCTGACAATCCTCTCCAGGCTGCGGTCATCCCTGCTGGTTGTGCACCTTTTTCTTCCACACTTTTCCCTTCCACATAACTTTCTATTAATGTGCTTTGATACAGCACTTTGGGAACATCCAACTTCTTTTGCAATTACCTTTTGAGGCTTTCCCTCCTTATGGAGGGTGTCAATGATGGTTTTCTGCACAACTGTCAGGTCAGCAGTCTTTCCCATGATTGTGAATCCTACTGAACCAGACTGAGAGACCATTTAAAGGCTCAGGAACCCTTTGCAGGTGTTATGGCTTAATTAGCTGATTAGAGTGGGACACTTTGAGCCTAGAATATTGCACCTTTTCACAATATTCTAATTTTCTGAGATTGTGGATTTGGGGTTTTCATGAGCTGTAAGCCATAATCATCACAATTATGACAAATCACGGCTTGAACTATCTTGCTTTGCATGTAATGAGTCTATCTCATATATTAGTTTCACCTTTTAAGTTGCGTTACTGAAATAAATGAACTTTTGCACGATATTCTAATTTTTTGAGTTTCACCTGTACTCATTTATGCTGAGCACTATATGTTTAGTAAAGGCCTTGTACACGTTTCAATTTATTCATAGGTATGTACTTATATTTCCTGTGTGGTTTGCCTTACCTTGTAATGATAGGCTCATATTATGTGGCTGCAGTTTGTAGTGTCATGGCTGATCAATTCCTCTATGTCCATGTATTCATGAGCCCTGCTGGTCCCTAAGGGCAGGCAACTTTTTGTTCCAGGTCACACAGCATCCAGTGCATGCTATCTAATTTCATGTGTATTACATCACAAATGTTAGAGTGCTAATGTAAAACACATCTCTTCCAGCACATTAATTGTTTAATCACAGGAAATGTTAGTATTACAGACACAGGTCATATATTAACCTAACCACATTCCTGGTAACTGGATTTATGTTTAGTATAGGTGTCATATATTGGTACTTTTTAAGGGGCAAGTGCCTATGTATAATTTTTGCAATAGTACACCGTTTATTTAATGAATAAACAAGAGGGTATTTGTGAATGTTTTGAAATCTTCAACCCATTACTGCTGTTTTTATTAAATCCCAAACTTTTTCTCAAAGCTGTGGTGAATATTTACTATGAAAACCCACCATGTTTTTTTCAGTTTTGTGTACTGTGTTGGGTAAAATATGTGCATAAATATTTAATGTGTTGACAATATGTTTTACTTTTTCATATCATAATTTAATTTACCATTATTTAATAAACGGCTTAAAATGCAACTTCCTTTTTCTGCTCTTTCTTTTTCAGATTCAGGTGATAGCTATCCAAGGAAACGAAAGTGGGTATTTTTCAGATCTTATATTGTTGAGTACCATTAAAATGTTATGTTTATTTTCATCGTTTTTAATACACCTTATCTTTGGAAAGATTTGGCTAAGGTACCTTTAGATTGGTTATGTAGAGTTCAGGCTGTAGTCGAGCATAAACTGAATTTTTTGCTTCTTATGCATGAGGCACAGTTCACACACCTGTACAATGAATGAATGTCGACATTCTCTGAGGGTTTCTAGTTTGAATAGGGAATGTGGGATTACCAGCCACTCCTACGTCTAATTGAACTACAAACTGGCTTTCCAAGTTTACTACTGAGTCATTTTTATATGACTTTTTTTTTTTTTTTCTTTTACACCTTTACAAGATAATGTCATTTTTTTTATTTGTTTTACATTTTTACAAGCATGTTCTTCCATATTTTTGTTATTATTTAAAAAACTGAGGTTTGAGGATCACCCACTAGACGGACTTTTGCGTGCAGATACTGTGTTTCGCCTGATAATAACTGATGATAAAAGAGCTACTTAGTGATTATATTGTGTTTCGGGCACTTTCCAAAAAAAATTATGGTGGTTGTATACTCCACATGTGCTGTAGCATTCAATCTCTGAGGTTGTTATCACACTTGCGCTGAATGCTGCCAAAATATTGTGATGTCATAAATATGTTGGCAAGATCCTGCTCATGCACCATAGTGGCAATACCGACCAGTCATAACTGTGCTTTCAGGGGATCTCCCTGTCATATTTCTGACATCATAATACGGCAGTGGTATACTTTGAATGCAGAGTATCTTGCAATCTGTGAAGTCAGAAATTGCACCATGGCAGCATGGAAGCACAGAAAGAAAATACTCAGAGATTAAAAATGTAATGGGGGGGGTTAATAAACTCTAAAATTATGTAGATGTGTATCTGTTCCTCCAGCCACCATGTCGGCAGCCTCCCCCCCCCCCCTTCCCCCGCAATGTGCACAGTAAATCTGCATCACCGCCCACACTCTCTAACTCCACACCTGTCATAACATCCTCATACTCCCCATTTCATCTGCATGACCTCCACCTCCATTCTCACCAACTCACCTGCAGGCCTGTATACCCCACTAAGATTCTTGATTTCCATTCCTTCCTTCCTGTTGTTACTACCACACCTGCATGCACCCTTTCCTCCTGCACTCGCTGCCAAGCCTGCACCCCTCTCACCCTGACCACAACTATTGACCCCCCCCCCCCCCCCCCCCCCCACTTCCGTGTTCTGCGCTCACATTGAATCTTCTTTCATGCTTCTCTCCACTGGTCTTGCCACTGTTTTTGGACACACCCCTATCCCAGCCTCATTTTTCCCCATTCTTCAACACCGCACCTGTACCCTACTCCTGCCTCCATGCCTGTGCACGCCGCCTTTCTGTTCCCACCCCTACACCACAGCACTTGACCTCGTTTCCCTCCCTTGCACTAACCATGTCACCCCCCCCCCCCATTGCAACTAAACATTCCTTGTGCTCTCACCACTACACCTGAAAACTTCCTCACCACAGAATCTGCATGCTGACCTCCCCATGACCATGCCTGCATTCCCCTTCCCCACTGCCACCACCTTAACCTTCTTGCTGTAACCACCACACCTGCCACCTTTCCAACCTTCTCTATTCCCCCACCCATTCTAAAATGAGCACACTTTTGCTAGTGTGTTTAAATTTGTAGAGCAGGCGATAAGCTTTTATGTACAAACAATTCTGATGGGTTTACAGCCACCCGATCACTTCCACAGCCTGCCAAAGTTAACATCCCTGAACCTTGCCCAACTGCCCCCACCATGTATCCTGGACTTAACTGTCCAATCTGCAGACCTGGAACCAGAACAGCAGATGTAACAAAGGGAGACCAGCAACTTTGGTTCTCTGATCTCCCCTCCAGTGAATGAAGATGAAAACAACATGTATTACAGTATGTCACTTCCAGGTTCAGCTGTCACTTTCTCCAGGCTGCTGTGACCATTGAAGAAGCTAATGGAACATAATCTGCTGCTCATTATCTTCAATGGAGAGCAGTCACCCCAGCAAATTTGCTATTGCATATCACATAGGGAGCTATTGCCCCACTATGTAATAAAAATACAGTTAATTTTACACAATAAAGTAAAAAAAGAACAAAGTAACATAAAAGTACACACAAAAAATGTTAATGTATTGGGTGCGCCTATGTACAAAAATGCTGGCTGCGCTACACGTTACATATCACTGCAAAAGGAGTCAGAACAATAATTTTAGGGTCATCATTCACGAATAACTAAACCAATAACCTGTAAAGACTTTTAAAGCAATGCCTATGAAAAATTTTGGGTACCAAAGTTTGTCACCAAATCACAGGTGTGCGCAGTTTTAAGGTGTGATAAGTTGGATGGCTATTTTTTTGTCACAACTTCATCTTTCATATTTAACCTCTTCGCTACCATGCTATAGCCGAAAGACGGCTACAGCGCTGTTGTCTAGTTCTGGGATGACATCCCAGAACACGCCCCCTGCGCACCCCCAGCGGCGCGCACCCAGCACCGCCAGTGATCGCTGTGTCCTGACCATGTGATACGGTAAAGGGCCAATCACACTGGCCTTTTACCATGTGATCATCTACAGTCAGGTCCATAAATATATTGGGACATCGACACAATTCTAACATTTTTGGCTCTATACACCACCATAGTGGTTTTTAAATTAAACAAACAAGATGTGCTTTAACTGCAGACTGTCAGCTTTAATTGGAGGGTATTTACATCCAAATCAGGTGAACGGTGTAGGAATTACAACAGTTTGCATATGTGCTTCCCACTTGTTAAGGGACCAAAAGTAATGGGACAATTGGCTTCTCAGCTGTTCCATGGCCAGGTGTGTGTTATTCCCTCATTATCCCAATTACAATGAGCAGATAAAAGGTCCAGAGTTAATTTCAAGTGTGCTATTTGCATTTGGAATCTGTTGCCGTCAACTCTCAAGATGAGATCCAAAGAGCTGTGACTATCAGTGAAGCAAGCCATCATTAGGCTGAAAAAACAAAACAAACCCATCAGAGAGATAGCAAAAACATTAGGCGTGGCCAAAACAACTGTTTGGAACATTCTTAAAAAGAAGGAACGCAACGGTGAGCTCAGCAACACCAAAAGACCCGGAAGACCACGGAAAATAACTGTGGTGGATGACCGAAGAATTCTTTCCCTGGTGAAGAAAACACCCTTCACAACAGTTGGCCAGATCAAGAACACCCTCCAGGAGGTAGGTGTATGTGTGTCAAAGTCAACAATCAAGAGAAGACTTCACCAGAGTGAATACAGAGGGTTCACCACAAGATGTAAACCATTGGTGAGCCTCAAAAACAGGAAGGCCAGATTAGAGTTTGCCAAACGACATCCAAAAAAGCCTTCACAGTTCTGGAACAACATCCTATGGACAGATGAGACCGAGATCAACTTGTACCAGAGTGATGGGAAGAGAAGAGTATGGAGAAGGAAAGGAACTGCTCATGATCCTAAGCATACCACCTCATCAGTGAAGCATGGTGGTGGTAGTGTCATGGCGTGGGCATGTATGGCTGCCAATGGAACAGGTTCTCTTGTATTTATTGATGATGTGACTGCTGCCAAATCAGCCGGATGAATTCTGAAGTGTTTCAGGCAATATTATCTGCTCATATTCAGCCAAATGCTTCAGAACCCATTGGACGCCGCTTCACAGTGCAGATGGACAATGCCCCAAAGCAGACTGCAAAAGCAACCAAAGAGTTTTTTAAGGGAAAGAAGTGGAATGTTATGCAATGACCAAGTCAATCACCTGACCTGAATCCGATTGAGCATGCATTTCACTTGCTGAAGACAAAACTGAAGGGAAAATGCCCCAAGAACAAGCAGGAACTGAAGACAGTTGCAGTAGAGGCCTGGCAGAGCATCACCAGGGATGAAACCCAGCGTCTGGTGATGTCTATGCGTTCCAGACTTCAGGCTGTAATTGAATGCAAAGGATTTACAACCAAGTTTTAAAAAGTGAAAGTTTGATTTTTGATTATTATTCTGTCCCATTACTTTTGGTCCCTTAACAAGTGGGAGGCACATATGCAAACTGTTGTAATTCCTACACCGTTCACCTGATTTGGATGTAAATACCCTCAAATTAAAGCTGACAGTCTGCAGTTAAAGCACATCTTGTTTGTTTCATTTCAAAACCATTGTGGTGGTGTATAGAGCCAAAAATGTTAGAATTGTGTCGATGTCCCAATTTATGGACCTGACTGTATTTATGGACCTGACTGTATGTCCAATGACACCGCAGATCACCGGGTAAATACAGTTACTGGTTATTGGCTGCACTTTCCTGTGCAGTCCAGTTATGTTTGTATAAAAGTGTTACAACTCTGGGCAAGTCAGACTCTCTTTACACCAGTGTAACTTCTTTTGCGACTTGACATTGCAAGGGAAATCTCATTGTTTTCAGTGGTGCCCATTCTAATGAATGCAACTCTGCACGGTGTGACTTTGGAAAAGGACCCTGCACTACTTTGGTGCGATGTACAGTGAGAAATTGCACTGTAAATCGCATTAAAGTCGCATTGCAGTAGTGTGAACCGAGTCTTAAAGTGAATATGAGAATGAAAAAAATATATATAGTATATGCAAAGGTTTCCTTCAGTGAAAAAGGCTCCTCTTAGACAAAACTAGACAAATACCACATCCAATTATTAAGTGATGCACAAGCCTCATAAAGTAAACACTTTTCCTTTTTGTGATTGAGAAAAATCCCCCTACATTCCTGTCTCACATGCTCCCTTTTCCACCTCCCAGACACTGCAGACAGAGCTCTCCTCAGAAAGCAGTGGGCAAGGCTAGGTGTAGCCAGGTGATGATTGACAAGTTACATGCTTGTGATTTAAAGTGACACTAAACTCATGACACTGAATTAACAATATAAGGTTTCCCACAGTACATAAAACATGGTAATGCATTGATTTTAGTAAAGTGAAAC